AACTTGCTGGATCGTTCGTTTTATTGACCTTTTGGGATCTAGTTTCCGCTACGCGTAAGTCGTGGATCTATTCGGGAAACACACTGGTATCCCAGCGTTGATCGATGAAGTTGACACGACCGACATTGACGAAGGCAACGCGGAAGAACTAGCCATACAGTACCACTCAGTGTACATGATAGATGTTGGCTAGCCGCCAACAGCAGCCAGAACCCCATCGCTGTTCACCTTCGATGAGTTTTCAGGAGTGAAGGTAACACGAGTGCTCCAGTCGATCAAGACGAGTCAGTCTCTTGGCCCGGATGACTTTCCTCTCCTCATGCTCAAGGAACTGGCAGTTCAGCTCTCGTCTTCATATACGTGGCTTTTCAATCTGTCAATCCGCTCGAGAAGACTGTCCCAAGAGTGGAAGAAAGCGGTTGTAGTTCCGACTTACAAGGGCGGAACGAAAGTTGTACCAGGCAACTACCGCCCCGTGAGCTCCACATCGGTTGACGGCAAGACGATGGAACGATTGGTGGTTTCATGAATTACAGATTACCTTGAGCAGCACCAGTGGCTGTGTAAGGAACAACACATATTTCACCAAAGGCGTTCCTGCATGACCAATTTGCTGCTTTCTCGTGAACGTTGGTCTAGGGGCAAGGAAGAGGGATATGTTACGGACGTTATTTTTATTGACTTTAGCAAGGCGTTTGACAAAGTATCTCACGACAGGCTGCCTACTAAACTCAGGGCTTTGGGTGTCGCAGGGTCCGCATTTCACTGGCTGGAGGATTTCCTGAAAGGGAGATCTTCCTGAATGAGAGTTTCATAGGCTCAATCTGCGTGGTACGCAGTCACCAGTGGTGTTTCACAAGGCTTCGTTCTTGGCCCACTTCTGTTCCTGATCTTTGCGAACGACATACCATCAACACTGATTAGCCGGTGCCTAGTCTATGCAGACGACCTCAAGCTCTGGCGAATAATCCGGACAGAGACGGACCAGATCTCTCTTCAGGATGACCCAAATGCTGTGATAAACTGGTCGAGGGTATAGAGCTTACCGGTGAATATCTTCCAGTGCGCCCACATGAGAATAGAAAGACATAGTTACACCACCAGCTACCTTATTGGAAGTGCCGTGCTCCGGCAGTCAATTGAAGAAAGAAATTTGGGTGTTGTCGTCACTAGTAATCTGAAATCTCGTGCACAGGCAGACAAAACTTGTGCCTCTACGTGGAGTATGTTGGGTGCTATTCGCCGTTCGTTTGGCTCGTTAATCCTGGTGGCCGTCTAATTACTGTAAGCCTCTAACGTACGCTTTGATTGGAATATGGCCATCCGGCGGT